TCTGGGTCGAAATAATCCCCAGTGGGTCGAAGGCCAGTGATGGCAGCCACGTCGAAAAGCGTGGGTGTTAGCATTCCACAAGGAAGGTGGAAGGTGAAATGAGTGTAATCCCAGAAAAGAAGGGAGGCTATCAGCATCTCAGGGGAGTAGTTGAGACCCGTCTTCGACAACATAACCAGGTCGAATATCCCCGGGTCCTTCCAGATCGAAGCCTGACTTTTTTCCATTTTTTCCAGCCAAGCACTATAGTCAGAAGTGAGGCTAGGGCTAGACCTGAAAGCCCTAACACCCATATTGAAGAAGCGAAGATCAATTTTCTCCTTAGCGGGATCTTCGTTATCCTCTGCATCTTTTTTAGAGCATCCAACAGGTTTGAGCTTTTCAAGCACTGGAAAGAAGCTTTTGATCTTCATGGCTTCAGCGATGCATGGGGTTAGCGGGCCAGACATGGCAAAGATTTGGTTGGAGTATCCAACCGGAATCATGAGTTGGTGTGAATAAGCTTCACGTTCAGCAGTTTCTAGGGGTTCAGGAACCCTTCGTTGGCCTGTAGGAGTAACTATGGGGACAATTGAGAAGATCTTGGGTTTAACATTTCTGGAAGGGATGTTAGAACTAGGAGCGGTAGAGGAACCTGAGGCCATTGTTGATGTTAAGGTTGAAGATGAAGTGAAGAACAAGGTGTTTGCAAGTTTGCAGAGATTTTGTGTTCAAGGAAGTTTGAAGGCAGGATAGCGTGAAAAAGTCCCACAATGGGTACTTGGCGCTATTTATAGTGGTTGGAAAATCCCCAAATTCGAGGCCATTTAATGTTGCAGAAGATAGTGGGACACGTGGCGTCCCCCTGTTGACATAGCCGTTCTGCAGAAATGAAAGGGTGCAGCATGCGCCCTCGTTTTTGGGAAATTGTCATGATGACAATTTGTGAAAAGACATTGGGCACGCTGCACGCCGTACTGAGGTGACGTCTTAGGTACGGATGAAATGATGGCTTTTTCTTGGGATTGTCAGTGGTTGGTAGAAGACAAAAAGTGCACAGTTTAATTTGTGGCTAAGAATGAAAAGACAGGTGTCGAATGGAATTTCAAAGAATGCCTTTTTCTTTTCAGAAGTCGAAATAAGGCATTCTTGGGGGGCAATTTGTTGGCTCCTAAATTCGACACCCTTGTTTTTATTAATATAAGCCATTAAAGCTGAAGGATGGTTTCGACCAGCTGGTTCTGTCGAAGTGCTCGTCAGAAAAAGGCAATGTACTTAGAGAATTTCTCCCAAGGGAGAATTTGGTTGCCTTCGACGTCGAAGGTGTTTTCTCGTTGAAGGTGTTTTTCGACGAAGGTGTTCGATTGCTCAGAGTGGAACAGTTTGAGATTCAAGCGTTTGGAGGGAAAACGGTTCCCAGCGGTTACCAAGTGAAACGTGCCAAGATCTGGAGCGTCGAACGCTATGAACGTGCCAAGTGGAGTCATCTCGAAGCAGTGTAACTGCCCGACGGTTACTTGGGATGTGTTTAGTATAAATATTAGTAGTTCACGCAGTTTTTCGCGTGTGTTCACAATTATATACAAGTCACTCATATAGATTCGAGTACCCAGCGTGAGAGAAAGAATTGTTGAGAATGTATGTGTGAAACACCACTTTATTAATCAAAGTCATTTATTTTCCAGAAACTTTACTTGCTTTCTCCTTTACTTTTCCAGTCGAAGCCTTCACTTTAAGCCTTCCTTTTCTTCTTCATGCAATTTACATAAAGCTTCTTTATTTTCCTGTCATTTAACCATTATCAAACTTAGTCAAAACCCCAAAATCAACCATGTCTTAGGATCAATCTGATCGATCCTGCGAGTCACCAAATAAGTAACCTTTTGGAAGATCAGCGGTTGTTTACCAATTCCCACGGTAAACAAATGCACATGCAAAAGGGGAAGAAAAGAGTCTACGGGAGACTAGCCTATTACTAATCATGTTGTTATCATAATAAATATGGCCCTATGTTAAGGATGCAAGGGGAATCTCTACCTAATGTTAGCATGTATGGTTTGCAACCTAAGGTCTAACTTGCATCCGAAAGGAACAAGTATATCCTAAGGGAACATGGTAGAAAGCAGCAAACAAGCTCGAAAGAGCATACACATAAAATGGTAAAGAAAAGAAGTGAAATGCTTTAGCCAAGGGGAGCGAATCACCCAAGAAAACAAGCGGGAGTAGGATGTAAAACAAAAATGTGATGTCCAAAGCGACTGAACTCCTAACCAAGATATAGAAGATCGAGGTATGCGACAAAAGGCAATATGAATAATCATGGAGTGTCAGCATCAGCTAATGCGAACTCCTGACAAAGCGTGGGGGTTTGATTGCGAAACCCTTTTCCACTTGATGACTCGACAACAAGAGTAGGCACAACTTTGAAGCATCATGGTGCATCACGAGTTAAGGATGACATGGACGAAATTGTGGGGGTTGATTACTAACCCCTTCCCGCTCGCCTCTTTTTGAAGACTTCAATAAGGAATGAGGGAATAATGCGGGTACAAATGTAAACACACCTGTAAAATACCTACACAAAGGTAGCGTTTTAAACAAACCACACACAAGTAGCACACAATGGCAAATAATGTGGAATTTCCCTAAACAGGTCTTTAAATAAACTAGAGAGGTTCCTGACATAATCAACAACGGAGACCCCTGTCATACATCTCTATCCTACTTCTCATGACATCAGAAAGTAGTAAAGTTCCTACTTCTCATGATATCTAGGAAGCAGTAAAGAAATGCGATAAAATGCGGAAAATGTAAAAGCATTAGTGACGACTACCAAAAGCAAGCGGGTCGTAGAAAGTGGGCGAAAGCAATGGAGAATCAAGGAGTGCAGGTTGAGAAAGCTTCACCAAGAAACGAACAAAGTCAAAAACGACATCCAACTAAGATAAAAGCAAACGCGTGTTGCGAATGCAACACATAATCAAAAGTTCCTGCACAAAGTATCACAAAATATCACATGTATCTGGACAACATATAATATGATATGAATTTCTCAGGACGATGAGAAATAAGACGTGTCGCATCAGAAGCGAGCATAAGCCCTATGCTTCGATCACATAACAACTTGTTATGTTACGTGATCGAAAGCACAAAAAATATACCTTGCACAATGAACAAACGCATCAATAACGAGGCACGACAGTATGAAAGTATGAATAAAAGTTAAAAGAAAAAGTATTTTTTATTAGTTTTATGTGCAGACAATTCTATCAAAACTAGTTAATTTATTCCTAAAATCAACTAAGAAGATCTAACGAGTTTTATTGACTATTATAATATTTTAGTTTTTCATAAAAAAATTAAAAGGAAAAATTCTAAATCTAACAAAGAGATAATAGGATTAGGGGGTGTCAGATTGAATCTGATGGTTTAATAGCCAAAACGCTAAGCCCAATAGTAATAGGGTACATAAGGGCATTTTTTGTGTGAATGAGGCTTAAAAAAAAACAACACAGAAATGGGCTGATAGGGAGTGTGGTTCGATCCAGAACCAGTTTTTTGTACTAGTTTCCAAAAAAACGCATCTGATGATGAGCTTAGGGAAGAGTGAACTCTCGATCCAACCCACACAACAACAATATCGAATCCAGATTTTTGTTTCACTCATTAATATATTAAATGAAATAAAACTAAAAATTACAAATTAAAAAAAGGGATTTAGGGTTCAGTGTTGGTCTTCTCTTTCAGATTCGTGAGAACCAAGTCCTCTTCTTCACCATGGCTATTCCGATCACCTTACCACCATCTCCGCTTCCACTCAACCTCGCCGCCCATCATTTTCTCCATCTATTCCTCATAACATCGTCACACTACCCTCCGGCCCCGATTCCACCTCACTTCGTCTTTTCTCTAAACGCCGCTATGACCCTACTAGTCGGTTAGGATTCTGTTATGAAGTTGGGAGAGTTAGTACGAGCTGGCATCGGTTAAAAGTTAGTTTAAAGGTTCGTTAGAGGTTACGGAATCTGTTAGAGTTAGTTACAGGTTTTCTTTTATAGGTAGTTATGATTTAACTTTTGTTATAGTTAGTGCTTATTCTGATTTAATGATTTTTCTTATTTAATTTTTTGTTAATGACAGTTGGAAGTGTAGGGAGTTGGTTGGTTAAGTTATGAAGCTAACTCGGGTGAAAGGTTGAATTGGTAAGATGTGAACTCTACGAAGTTAATTGTTTTTAATTTTTTCTTCTGGTTTTCTGTTAGTGATTGGACGGTTTGGTTAGCATATAGTGAAAGTTTATGTTGGACAGTTAGTTGAGGACAAAATGGTTAGTTAAAACTGTTAAGAAAATGGTAGCTAGTAGGTTATTTTGATTTGTGGAGTTAAGTTGTCGACGTTAGCCGTTAAGTGGAGGTTTGAAAGTTAGTTGTTGAAAGTTAGTTGTTGTTCTTATTGACAGTATAGGTATAATGATGTTAATAGATTGGCTTTAATAGTTAAAAGTTTGAAAAAGGGGGAGTCGTGTTGGTAGTTTGGTTAGTAATGACACTATTAGAGTGAAAGCTTGGATTAATTGTGCAGGTTAGCAAGAGATGATGTATGACATGCTAAAGCTTATTGCCGTCCCGCTTGAACTGTGTTGGATGATAATGATGGATGAATTTGGATGGTTTTGTTAGTTAGGGCATGTACTGTTGTGGAATTTTTATGTAGGTTGGACTTAGCATGAAGCACTATGGTTTAGCACGACTTTGAGCTCTTGTCTTCATGACGTGATTTTTTGGTTATAGCATGTATGTATGTATGAGTACAATATTCCCTTTATAGAACTGCAGTAGGCACCATGATGTTTCTCACAGTCTACTTTGAAAGTGAATAATAGTGATTCCATTTGTAGGTGCAAATGTAATTCCCTGCGAGCTTCAGATTTGGGATTACTGCAGACCAGAATGTTTGAGTTTTTTTTCTACATCTTTCTTTGAGCTTGTATTGGTCTTATTCTTGAATGGTTCAAACTAAACATGCATGGTTTTTGTGTGCAGGGTGCGAGATGTCTGCCTATGCATCGATATGGATTTTTAGCTCGAAGTTGCTTCGACCTTCTGTGCACTGACATTAGCTATACCATGCTGAACTGTCTAGGTGCTAGTGCACTAGCTCATAAACTGAAATCAGTTGCTTTTATAACTTATTATAGCCATGAGATTTTGGTATATGTTGATTGTTATGTATGACCCTTGAGGACTTTTCCTGCACTTATATTGCTGTCTTGAAACTTGATAATATGCAGGCATGAATCCAGGTGGTATGAGAATCAACGAGATCCCATGTATTAGAAGGTCGTTGAAAGCACTTGGACAAGAAGAAATGATGAAGATCATGATACATTGTTTGGAGATTTGAAAAGCAGTTTCCCAGGAATTATGACTTTTTAGGAAGCATCAGAATAAATCTTAGTCATAATCGGGTCAATGGTCAAAATTCTTGTCAATGGTCAACAGTTTGATCAAAAGTCAATCGTTGACCCAAATGTCAACTGTAGTGTTTTCTTCAATTTTCCTATTTTTTTGTAATGACTTGTATTTGAACCTTGTTGTATATATTGTGATGACTCTGCAGTATCTTGTAGTTCAAGCAAATTCAACATAAAAGTGAAGATTAGAAGATTAGAGGTAGTGACTTGTATCCCAAGTAATTAAAGGAATAAGTGATGAAAGTTAACCAAAACTCTGTTCATTCGACAAACAAATTAACACAAGCCCTAATCCATATGATAATTGCAAGCATAAGAGGATGAAGATGACCTTCATGAATTCCAAGAACTTCCATGTCTAAATCTAAAGCCCGTGAATGAAATACCATAGAATGACTTGAATAAAATCCAAATGTTAAGAAGAAACCCATGATGATTGTAAGTCCAAACCCTTGTATGAAGATGAGAGCCTTAAAGTAATAAAGAAACCCTAAATTTCATGTTTTCTTGATCCCAATGCTAAATTTAATGATGATTGATGTGTGGCGTGTTAAATGACTTAATGGAAGTTATGTACATGAGAACAATGTGAGATGCATAAGCTAGATAAAAGTGAAAGGGTAGGACAAATATGTGGTATTACAAAGGTTACCTGAGCATAATATCCAACAATCTCTCCAAGGCTTACAATTGTTTTTCTTAATTTCCTTCATTTCTACCTCGTCAATGATACATAAACGCCAAAACTCCATTTCATAGTCTCCCTTATATGCACGCAACACAACGCAGTTGCTAAGTACATTCTAATACAGGAAATCTACTACATCACGTATAATCCAAATCATCTCATTCCAAAATAAGTCTTTATCCAGTTAGAATATTTTGACCATATCAATGAATCCTTACTCTTTTCTTTAATCTCGCATTTGGATCTCATTCTAATCACAATCTCAACGCTACCATCACTCTAATCATGCTTAATCGACATAAGTTGCATCTTTATGCACTTATTTAATACATTCACATCTTTACTAATGTCAAATATTTTATTTCCTTAATTCATTAACTAACAACTTATCTCACTTGACCTCATCTCAAGTAAGCTGCGATAATTACCAGGTAATTCCTGAAAAGTTCTAGTCTCATAACCAATTTCAGAATCTCTCGATATAAACCTCTATTTACTTTGAATATATTCTACAAATATCTTCATTCGAAATGGCATGTTCAAGAAATTTCACATCTTCAAATCATGATCTACATCCTGACCTTTTAACATACGTTTCCTTCTCTTTCGACACCATAATTCTAGTCACGACATTCAACATTTCCTTTTTCCGACTCAGACTAAACCAAAATGCCCTCAATACACACCGCAACAAACTGACTCAATTATTCAAAATAACTTCACCGATTTCTAAAAGTCATCCTCTAACTATCCTCACTCTTCATCCATATCTCCGACCCCAATTCAATTATACTGAGAATATACTCGCCTACCAGTTGGTCCTTCCAGTCGTCAATCATCTGAAGTGGATATGTAACCTTAACCACTATTTAATCAGTTATCGGTAATCCACATACAATTTCATACGACTTTCTTTTTCCTTAAATAATGATATCAAAGCTCCCAAAATGATACATTCAGTTTTACAAATCTATTTATTTGTACATATTCTAATAATTTCTCCAATTCTCCAAACTTTTGAACTGACATCTTGTATGGTGCCATAGGAACAAGTCTTGTACCAAGCACGAGATCAGTATCAAATTTCTCCCCTCATCCAACATCATCACGTGACAAATAAATTACTTCCAGGTGCTGGAACCATTTTAAAAACAAAGTTCATCACATTAGCTTTCTAGCGCTTCAAAAGGAACTCAAATCGGACGTCTGGAACTCAAGTTATGAATTTTTGAAGTTCTTCTAATTTTCATTGAAGAGTACTCGGGTACTCATATATAGTAATCGGGTACCGGGGGAACAGAAGCAGTTTTTTTAATCATTTTCTGTGTACAAAATCCATTCTAACATATATCTGAAACCCCCATTCTTCTCATAACTCGAGAGACGCATAACTTTCTTCAAAATTCAGTTTCCAAAACATCAAAATTCCAACTCTTTTCACAAGGCTACTAATATCTTCGAGTTCTATCTCTGACTCGCAATCCACAACCTTCCAACAACATCAACAACATTTCACATATGAGATTCCAACACAATTTACATCAATTCATCACTCTATCACCATTCAAAACATTGGCATCACACACAATGCTAACTCAATATTGACAACTTCACAATCCAGCGACAGTGTTGAAACATTGCAACCGTCTGAGCTTTAACTTCTAAAAGTCGTCTTACTTTGCTTAATAGATATCCTATGGCATAAGAATATGCATCATCTCATCAAAGTAATTCATAAACACTTGGTTTCACTTCAAACAATCCACTCCAAGGATAACATCCAGTTAATCCAATACTTCGCTCTAACGACAAGTCGCAATTACCCCCGGGAGTAACCAAGACTCACCCACAACGGGCACATCATTAGCCATAACATCACTCTCTACTTCTAGAGATGCGAACAACACAAGTACCTGATCATTCACCCCTTAAGAACACTTCGACCCGACCGCTAGGCATAAATCTTGAATTCTTACTTCCTTTAAAATTGGAAAACAACACAGTAGTGCTAATGTTTGCACCCATGCACTTCACGACATACTAAACGAATTTTTCACACTTGAAGCATCTCAAAGAAGCACAAGTTTCTCCCCCACTTGTTCCAATCCCACTTCTGCAAATAAGTGATTATAAAAGAAAGCAAGCACCGATAGTGTTTCACACACTTTTCGCGTACTAAGGAACAAACAACATTAGACAACTTGGTCGAATGGACCGACCTGCTCTGATACCAATTGTAACACCCTATTTTCCCTATCGAATAATTAAATGAAATAAGAGTAAATTAAAATTTTCCAATAAAAATCAAAATAGGATGTCACATTTCATCATCTCAAAACCTGCTCAAACATTAACAAATGGATACATAACACATTATTTTTGGATGAATCGTCATCATAATCATCATGGTATTCAACTTCACTTTATTAATGCAACGAAAACAATGTAAAATATAATTGGTCAACAACTCCAACCATCCATAAACAACGTCTCATCAATTTTAAGAAAAGAGTTATAATACTCTCACAATCTTTCAAAGACAACAACGACTAAATAAGCAAAATAAACGTTCATCCTTGGTGTTACGTATCAGAGAAAGACCCAACTCGTCTACGTACCATGAGGCACAACTCTATACCTCAAGCTACACTAATCTTCGTCACCTGCGCGTTACCCACATGGAGGCAACATTCAAATAGAAGGGGTGAGATATCATAACAATATAAATGAATATATGATAATGAATATACGACAGATATATCATGTAAGATTTCAACTTAATAATCATCAATTATAGTTCATAACAATTACACAAATAAACACTTAACTATCATCATCCATCATACAACATAATTCAAACATACAACTCAACTTCATCGTTATATCCATAATATGTAACTCAACATTATCATCATATCAATAACAGGAAATTCAACATCATCATCGTATTAACAATTCAACAATATGTAATGCGACTGACAGTGATGCAAAATGCATATGGTACCAATAGGGTAAAACCCTAAACTCAATAATGCCAACTTGGGACAACAATTTCATAACGCCAATACAGGCCATCGTAATAGGGAAAAACCCTCATCTTAATAATGCAAACTTAGGGCGACCAACTTCACTCATCAATACAAGCCTTCACTCGCCAATATAGGCCTTCACTTTATGAATGCATGAGACACTATCATGCAACAACCTACCTCACATTTACCATTCTTACTCATCACAATTTTTCCAATTACGGGCCACATCGTAACTTAGGAACATGCATGTAACACTACCATGCTACAATAACTTATGCACTGACACATCACACATCAACAAATCAAGCCAATACAGCTTGCTAATCACACATCATTATTCATACATCATCACACATCACTACATCGTGAAATCTCTTCAATTTCATCGTCATATTCACAACTACGCAATCACAACACAACATCAGAATGAAACAAAATCCATAAAATCATCTCATTTTTTTTCAAATCATTTTTATTGAGTAGAAAATATTTTCAGCTTTCTGTAGGTTCGAACGACGCATCAAACAAACACCCGAGTCAAAAGTTATGAATTTTCAAAGATTTTCAAGAATCTGTCAGTTTCAGTAGGGTACCCAGGTACCCATATATGGTAACCGGTTACCCACTGTAAAAACGGAAAAAAACTTTATTTTCGAGTGGTAACCGGGTACCCATACATGGTAACCGATCCAACTATTCCAGAATAAAAAAATCAGACTTTTATGTTACGAAAATCACTTATTTGTCCGGTAAACATGTTTAACTTCCACCTACTATACCGTTAATGTTTATAATTAAACTTCCCACATTCATACCTCAATACCAACCATTTTAATTCACACAAAAACACAATTAAGCACTTAAATTAAGTGATTCTTTTATCCAAATCAAAAATCATTGTTATAGCAATTACACTCAAACATCACCCATCAATCAACTTCATTTATACAACATCAAACACAAGAATTTCACACCCATTCATCATAAAATTTTTTCACATAGATAAATCACATAAAATACCCAATTCTCACAAAGTTGAACATATAATTACATAACCTAACTCTACCCTAACACATCATCACACAAACCCTTATAGAGTTAGAACTCCACCCTTACCTTAGGTTTTGAATTCTCTTCCCTTCTCCAATGGAGTCTTCCCTTTAGCCCTAGGTTCTTCCTTTTCTCCTCTTCTCCTAAAAGCGCTCTTTTT